AATGGCAAAAAGTGCTAGCATGCTAGCTGGCAAAGTATTCATCCCATTGACAGAAATAAACTGCAAACTATAAACTAACGCTAGAGATGGATACCAGTTACCAGCAGGAGGATTAGTAACGTTACTGTATTTAGCCAAATGAACAAAATCTAACCAACGCGAGATGCGATAAAGTTGAATTAAACGTGTGTAATATCAAACCTGTATCTCATGCGCCGTATTGCACCGATTTTTCATCATTTATGGGATAAACCTTTTCGCCTGCTGTTCAGAGCTGTTCTGCATTGGCCTTTTCAGCCTCTCTTAAATAAACTCCTTGCCATCCACCGGTTCGCCGACAGAGAAGGATTTGATGCATACACTAGCCTCGTGGAAGAGAACACACCCACTGAGGAATCATTCACCTGCTGTGTCACCTATTCACAACTCCCTATTGGTGCGGCCCACTCACAAATGTTAACTGTGTTATATTTTAAAATACATACAGTGCTTAACAACAAATTCATTAGACCACCTGTCTTAAAAGACGAGAAGACACAAATATTTAAGAAATTTGTCAAAAACTTGTTTAAAACTAAAGATTCTTTTGTTATTTATTTGGCAAATAACAAACTGAAACCACTGAATAGTCCTAATTCACACACACACACACACACACAAAACTATATTTTGTATGGCATCCTTTGGCCTTGATAACAGCTTGCATTCTTGCATTCAACCACTAAAACTAATTTTTATGTTCAGGAATGCAAGAAAATAACTGTTATTTGGCATCTTAATCAAAAAAATAATAATGTGCTTAACTATTTTTTCTGCTTTTTTGTAAAACAGTAAATTCGAAAATTCATGGATAACAACAATAATTATATTTTAGCACGAAAAATATCATTTCAGTTAAATAGCTTGCGCATAATGGTGGATTAACCATTACAGAAACATAAAAATAATTTTGGTAATTACCAACACTGTTAATTTAGGGCAGCTGTGGCATAAACCTTACATTGGGTGGTGGTCTAATAAATTTGTTAAGCACTGTATATTTTGTGCATGTGCTTACACACATGTTCATGAGCATGTGCGGTGGCTCTTATCAAATTAGCTCACAGATGAAGCTCACACGTCATCCACACATATGTGACAACACTCAAACTCTTGCACACACACACACACACACACACACACACACACACACACGTGCACTGTTTAAATCTTATTTTACGCAATTAACCTCCATAAAGATAGAACAGCAAAACAAAAAAAAAAAGAGTCAGCCTCAATTAGCATAATGGCTGAATACTCAGACTTAAAATTCAATTTATATTACCCCTCCCAAAAAGAAAACAAACAAAAAAAAACACAAATCTGTCAATTACATCATTACACTCAGTTCAAGATTTGCCAGCCAGGTAAGAATATTTCACTTGTCAAATACACTGTGCTCCAACTTCATGATAAGGCACTTGTTAAGACAGTAGTTTTTGCAGTGTTGACACCTCCAGTTAAACAACCATTTTAGGACGGTTCTAATCCAATTCTGGTGCGGCAGTGTGGACAGAACCAACGCAGATAGGGCCTAAAGTCCAGCTCACCGCTATAACTGATTCCCAGAAAAACTCACACTTCATTGACGATTTCTAAGCAAAAAAAAAAAAAAAAAAATTATATCTATTAATATACATATATATATTTTTATATGTGTGTGTGTGTGTGTGTGTGTGTGTGTGTGTGTGTAAAAAGCAGGATTTAAGGTCTCAACAAAAGACTAATCTGCTCTTTCAGACTGCCAAGCTGGTTTTTGCAGAATGTGGACCCAATCTCCGTCCATCCCATGTGAGATTAAAATGTCTCCAGTCCAAATTTGGAGAGCAGCACTCGGCCATGACAGAGGCTAAAAACGAGAGGCGAGGCCTGGCGGGACCATTCTGCAACCCTCCAGAGGGGATTCGCTCAATGCGGGACAGCTGTTGGGGACGCCCCTGGACCAGACGTTCCCCCCGCAGATCTCCAGCATTCACGCTTCATGCAGTAATCTCTTTGTGTGACTGGTGTTTAAAACGTTAGCGCCCACTAGCCATCAGTCTCCTCTGATACAGTTGTGCGGAGGAGGAGGGGGCTGATAATAAAAGCTAATTTATGAAGCTGAAACCATGACTTCACCTTCACTTACCTCAACACCACACACCAGAGTCTCCGGGAGTTCAGTCTCTGCTGCCTGATACCATTAAACAGCCCCCAAAATCTTCTTAAATCGCGTCATCTCCACTGCTGACAGAATTCAAGTCTAAAAACCAGCACAATCCCATCACAAACTAATGATCCTCTGCTGGCCAGATAAAGTCCAATGCCCCTCACCTCATTTCATCCAATCGCGTAATGTACAACTCGCTAGTGTTGTCTTTTGCAAGTATGGGATATTCGCATGTGTAAACTGCCTCATCGAGATCTGTAATGGAGTCTGAGCTGATCAAGTGCTGCCCCCACTGGTTACGCACTTACCTCACTTTTTTATGACTTCATTAAAATGGAGTTATACTGTTTCCAGAGCGTTACATCATATCAGTAGTGCTCCTTTCTTGTCTCATGCCAGTGAAATGCCCCATCTGATGAGCAGCAGATATTGTATGCCGCATTCTTTCCATTGTTAGATCGAGCTCTGCTGAAAATTCATCCTTACCCCAGCCTTAACTATGAACTTTTTTTTATATGTATAGCTTTCCATTACCGATGTGTGAAGGACTGTGATTAGGAGACCTTTCCCAACTTTCAAGTTGGCCAATAACAGCCTGTGAACTGATTGATATGTGGAGGTATAAGGTAAGATTTTCCGCAAAAATCCAAAGAAAGTGACGTTTGTTAACGCAAGTGTCTTGCCTGCCTCTCTTCAGCTCCCCAGCTAACGACGTAGCTAGCTAGCTTAGAAATGGAGTCCACTAATGTCAACAAACGACCGGAGACAGTAATAGTGAAATAAACAATGATAACCTGAAATGACACAGCAAGATAAACAGCTGTGATACATGAAATGAATACATAGACTATGTTCCACAATAATCCCAAAAACGTCTGTTCTTTTGAAATTTTTACCTTACTTTGTTTTATTTGCAGTCTAACGTTACCCACCTCTTTCCTATCATCTGTTTACAACTAACATTGGTCCAGGATTAAGTTACCATTGTCTCAACCCAATCAACCAGACTCATTCAGTACATCAACATTACCTGACAATAGAAAGGTTGAGTAGATTATACTGAAACATTGGCGCATGGATTCAGAAAAATGAGAGTTGATAGAAGCTATGACATCAATACTGAATCATGGCAACACATCTTATTTATAACAATCCATCAAGTTCTCTTCCGTTAGCTTTATCATCCAAAAAACATCGCTATGCTGACATTCCTGAGCCTCTCCTTGAAAGCCAGCACTAGGCAAACAGCGATTGATAAAGCTAGCTAATGGCAATGTATCACATAAATGCAGTCAATGTATCATGCTGCGGTAACAACTCTGAGAATGCCACAAGCCTATATTGTACTAGCTGCAGAAACTTGAGCTTTATTAATCTAATTTTAAAAAAAAAACATAACGTTACTCAAAGCATAATAATACTGTAACTTTGCTTGGCAACGTCAACTATCACTTTCAGTCTTGTGTGCAAGTGAGCGCAAGCAACAAGGTTGGCTACAGTTCACTTAGCGGTCACTGGTGCCAGCAGAGGTGGGTAATCCAGGTCCAAAGAGTAAAAATCCTCCCCAGCATTTTGTCCTGATCCTCCTGGGTTGTCCAAATGGTGAAGGAGTAGGGAACCCTGCTCCTGGAGAGCCATAATCCTGCATGTTTTAGACGTCTGTCTCCTCTAACACACTGGTTTGAAATAACTGCCTCGTTCCCTACTCCGTTACTAATAGGACAACCCAGGTGGATCAGGACAAAATACTGGGGAGGATTTTTACTCTTTGGACCTGGATTACTCACCTCTGGGTGCCAGTCATAACAAGGATTTTCTGAAAGTTGCACATAGCACTTTTAAAGGTTCTTAATCAGTTTCCAAAACCTAAATCCACATCACATACTGGAAAATGAGGCTTATTACTTTGACTAAACAAACCTTTTCTCACAAAGCCATAACGTCTTCAATGCGGCTTGGTGAGAACCCAGCCCAAGACACCAAGCAAACTGATAAAGCCGGTTTATACTCTGTTTTTCAAACTCATAACAGGTCAAACAGCTGTTCACCAGCTTTCCAGCCATGGAACACTGTGTTTCCAGGCCATAAAGTCGACCACCAGGATAATCTACCAGTTCAACCAGCTTAGACCAGCTAGGACGGATCAAAAACACAGCAGAAACCATCTTAACCCAGTTCACTCCCCCAGCTTGATTTGGCTAAAAACTTTTGTCAGAATGACTCATCTAATCCAGTGATGTCAGCACAGTGATCTTTAGCTGCAAACCTGTCTCGCTGAGACAGGAAAATCTTATTAGCACTGATAGTCGATTCGCTCCCTGGGGGGTGATGTCATCACCTCCAACATGCTCAAAGACAAATGAAATGAAGCAGTAACAATCACAAGAGGGACAGTTGGCAGTGAAGCTAACTAACACTGAATTAGTTGAGGCTTTTTTCAACAGAGAAAGAATTAGCTGGGAGGGGGACATCAGTAAAGCACATCTACTGTACAGAGCTACAAAGGGCCCTGCTACTTTGGTCCAATTCATTACATATATTGTCTAATGCAGGGCTGCCAAACCCTGTTGCTGGAGATCTACCATGGGACGGTGGATAACAGGACCGTTGACTTCCAGGAACAGGACTGTGCAGCCCTGGTGTTATGCCAAGTAACAAGTAACACAGCATTTATTTTGTAAATCTGTTGCATCTTGAAAATCGACTCCTCTGCATTGTTCTAAGCGTGCGCATATTTAATATCATGCCTTACACCCAATCACATGACAGGCTAGCTCTGCCAGAGTTTGTGAGACATGATGGGAAACAGGGCGGCACGGTGGCGCAGTGGTTAGCACTGCTGCCTCACAGCAAGAAGGTCGTGGGTTTGAAGCCGGCCTGTGTGGAGTTTGCATGTTCTCCCCGTGTTCGTGTGGGTTTCCTCCGAGTACTCCGGTTTCCCCCACCCACAAAAACATGCATCATAGTGTGACAGTTGATGGGTCCTGTCACGAGAATGCCTCCTAATAAGTGCATGCGCTGGCTATCTTGCCAATGAGCCTGGCTCTTTGGCGATGTGGTCAGCGCGTTTGACTCTTACCCGGGAGTCTGGGGTTCAATTCCCCGCCCGGGCCCTCCTTCGGCCTGCCACAATAGGAACACTCCTACCATTACCCCTGACCAAGGAACTGGCTTTAGAACTGGAGTTGGTCCCCGGGCGCTGCTCTGTGGCTGCCCACTGCTCCTAACTATAGGATGGGTTAAATGCAGAGGACAAATTACCCCACAGGGTTCAATAAAGTGCATCTTAACTATATTAAGGACAACGCAATACAGTCCATACAAAAATACACTTTGCCATAAATTAAAAAATTAGCACCTTATCAATGAGGCCTAAGTAAGCGTCCATGTCTGGGTACTCAAGGAGGCACCACTACGGCAAATCATCAGTTAATTTCCCCGTTAATTTACCTTCTGCCAGCACCCACATGACAGCCAGGCAAAGACGTAATGGGATTCCTGAGGCAGAATGATGCAATCAGCTCTGGACCGGCTGATCTGAGATCAGTGCTCACCGGGGGCGCAGTTGTCCACCAGAGCTCCCAGGGCTTTGCCGTCCCTCCAGTCGCGGTGGAAGTTGGTGATGGGCAGCTGGGGCACCTTGTTCTGGATCCAGCCCAGCAGCCGCTGCTTGGGAGTCAGCTTCTTGGCGTCCTCGTCGTACTCGTCCTCCCACATGGGCATGGAGATGGAGTAGTGCAGGATCAGCGTCCAGATCAGCCCCAGGATCAGCTTCAGGTTCCCGTCCACGATGGCCTTGCTGTCTGAGGAGCAGAGAAACAGGAAGTTACAGAGCTGTAATCACTACAGAGGCCAGCAGCAGCGTCCAGTGCTTCTGAAGTACTGCAAGGACAGGACTGAGCCACCACTGCAAAAAATGAAAGATAAAAATACTAGGTAAGATGAATTTACTTATTTTAAGACTGAAAACACTTATTTCTATCACAATTTTTCTTTGTAAAACAAAAAATTTGTCCTTGATTTGAGGTAATTTTGATGAGCTTGCCAATGGGATAAGTAAATTTCACTTGTCAAGCAAATAGTTACTTAAAATAAGTAAATATTTTCACTTGTCAAGCAAATAGTAACTTAAAATAAGTTACTATTTGCTTGACAAGTGAAATTGACTTATCCCATTGGCAAGCTCGTCAAAATGACCTCAAATCAAGGACAAATATTTTGTCTTACTAAGAAAAACTGTGATAGAAATAAATGTTGTCAGTCTTAAAATAAGTAAATTCATCTTACCTAGTATATTTATCTTTCATTTTTTTCAGCGTGTAATAAAATCGAGCCATACATAACCAGCCCATGAACTCAACTACTGTAAAGCCTTGTTTCCACCATGCAGTCTGGCTCAGTTCAGTTTGTTATATGTTAGAACATGTTAGTTATGAACCTCAGAGAAGGAACCAGGGGCAGATCACAGAAGAAAAGCCAACTGGCACTTAAATGAAGGCCTTTGGCCTATTTTGGCACAAACTGAGGAAGAATGACAAACAGGGTTGTGGGCAGTCCAGGTCAGTGATTGGTGCACTGGATCTAGCAGATCAGACGGGAAAGGACAATTGCAGTCAGTTGACAGTCCTTCGTCAGAACCGGGTGGTCTTTCCGAATGGCAGAGCTGGCTGGACGATGGAGCACAGGGACCCCAGCGTTGAAGAAGCCCGGGATTGATCTGTCACTGCTCTGGAGACAATCGGAGAGCAGGGAGAGAGTGCTCCTAATACAAAGTCACTTGTTTTGTAATTACGAAGATGGGAGAGCAAAATCTTGTAACAAGCATAGGCTGGAGTAACAAAGAAGAGACACCACAATCCAACAAGGTGAGAACGCAGGTATGCAACTTATGAAGGCGCCACATGACACAACAAAGGGAAGTGTAAAGATCTGCGTATCATGCCAGGGCACGAGGTGGAAAGGGAACAAGATGGGCCGATGATAAATCAATCAGGAGAAACAACATTGGAACCTGATACAGACACTGGATTGCATGGAAACAATTAAGGGAAACTCTAAGGACGGGATAAGAATGGATATTTTTGCGTTTCCGCTGTTAAAAGTTGTGGATGGTAACAAAAGAACCTGTCAAATCTGTCCTGTTTTTTCATTGCCCCTCTGTTGAGGTACAAAGCACACTGACCCACTATGCAAAGGTGGGGCTAAAAACGCTCATTAGTTCCTTAATTGGTCAACCATCACTCTGGCTCAACCAAGGACACGGTTGAAGTGGCCATTACCGTACCCCGCAAAGATTTAAGAGTACTCTCTGTGGTGGAAATGCAAACCAGATCAAGGGTTTAGGTTCAATCAGGTCACGTATCAGTTCTGAGGGTGCTATACCGAAAGTGTTTGATGGAAACAAGGCTTAAACATAACCTGACTCCCGGCAGAAGTGGTTCACAATACTGTCCTCAGGGCACGCTAGCCAGATCCAGGTGTTTGTTTTGTTCTACCTTGAAGAAACCTGATGCAAACGATCATGGTCTTGATCACGTGCATAAGGAGTGCCAAAGGTGGAAACAACAGATACCTGGTTCCAGCAGGTTATGCTCCAAGGAGAGGATTGAGCACCAGTGCACTACAGCAATAGAGATGCAATCCTCAAAACAACAAGCTTTTACCTAGACACATTTTTATTATGCTTCTTCAGTAGCAATGGATATTGAATCAGACTATGGATCAGAAGAATATTGGTTTGGCACCAGGCCAACTTGTAGTATTTAACCAATCATGTGTGTTAGCAGCCTACTGATTAAACCAGCGGTGGCAAAGTTTAACCAGGCTGCATTAAAATAAACGAGACACCAGTTTGCAAATATGCAACACCAATAGATCCAGTCCTTCAGAGACAGCAAGTTATTAATGAGGGAATAGCTCTGTTGTACCCCCAAACCAGCACTGACCAAATGCTGCATAGTTTTATCAGGACCATTTCTTACAAAGTATAATTCCCAGAGTTCAGCCCAGTCAGTAACAAAATATGAAGTTGACAATGTATTTCATGGCCCTAGAACTGCATGGAGAGGCTGAACGCAGCTTGAATTTGTAGCCTGAGTAGTAAGGAATTGACCAATTATAGGCCATTTTGTCATGAGTGTCATATAGTCAGTCACGGTCCATATCATTATCAAAAACTGCCCAAACAGCAGGGTCAATGATGAAATGAATAACAACAGCCCGGTTTCATGCCAGTTTAAAACGAACCCTACCCTCTAACCCCTAACCCTTAACCTGAACCCTAACCCCAAGCGTCAAACAAGGACCCTAAAAGCCTCCTTTATTGTCGTATATTGGCGCTTGGTCAGGTAGCGTCATTATGAGACGAGTCGGGATGAGAATGTGTTGATAATAAATATGACCACAAAAGAGAAAACTTCGAGTTCCACTCGCAGCTGGCTTACAGGTTTTATTGGCAATAAACTGGAGTGAACAAGTGACGCACTAGATTATGCATCAGAGTACGGATCAATTCTGGATCTGACTCCTGGCAGACTCACAGGGTTTGAGGGTTTTACTGATTATTTTTACAGATCATATGCATTAGCAGCAGACAAATTCAAAAACTGTTCACGAAGTTCACCTGTTTGCAGTCAAGTCAAATTAAATGCGACAAAAGCCCATGAATACAACAACAATATAGATTTGTCCCCTGAAAGACATCAAAATTTACAAGGGGAAGAAGGTCCTCTCTTGTAGCACTGCGCTCAGTGCACAATGAGGCTGACATCAGTCTGGTCTTCATGACAGGAAGAGGCCATCATTCAGCAATGCAGCACCAGATTTGCCAGCTAGGTGTATACACTGTGGGGGGCAAAATATTGAGAAATGAAAACTGAAGTATCAAAACCACTATTGCATTCGCGTCTATGCTGGTCATTCCAAACAACTGAGTGCATGATGAATTGGAAATATGTCTCAGCTCTAAAGGGATCAAATAGCCTATTTGGTGCTCAAATTACAGGTGCTACAGTCACAAAAACTGAAAAATAATTTAAGATGGCATGGGGAAGAGAATCATAAATTATGAAAACATACAGCAAACAGCAAAAAAAGCATCAACCACAAAAAACTGGCCGCAACTAAAAGCTTTCTGGCGAGGACAGACGGACATCTGGTCGGACAGCTGCTGATAATTATAGAATTATGACTCTAAAGATCACAACAGAATTGAAGCAATCTACATCAATCAAAAACAGTAAGTGTTTAGCATCACAAAGCTGGTAATTGTTACGTCCCGTGCCTATGTGTTTGTCATCCTCCAGCAATCGGGCTGTCCGGGTCTGTTTCGGTTTGTCTTCCTGATTGATTTCAATTATTCAATTATTATCCCCTGGCTTTGCCTCTCCCCTTCTGTATTCCACTGCCTTTCTCCCGCACCCGACCCTCGTTGTTGATTGAAGTCTCTGTGTATTTAGGTTCCTGTCTTTCATCTCCCCTTCACCTGATTGTTGACTATCCCTGGCATTTAGTTCTCTTTCTAGCAGTTTTTCAGCGCATATTCTTTCCCAGCTTTCTTTACGTTCTTCTGCCTTTTGTTTGTGTGACTGTTTCCTTCCTCTTTTTCTCCCCGCTCCAATCATCATTCCTCCTCCTAGTGTCTTCCGGTCCATCCGGACAGACCTCACGGAACCGACCTCGGACCAAAACTTCGACCCCGTTTAGCCACAACGTCTGTGCACTATACACCACTGCATGACCTCTGCCCTTCCCACGCTTATGAGCTGCTTACAACTTAATAACGCTACAGCTCCTCTAGATCGTGCTCCCACGCTTGTCTCCATTCACTCATCAGCTCCTGACAAGTATTATTGGCAGAATTTCTGATGATTCACATATTCTGAAC